TTTTTTTATTTCAATACTAGCAATACTGTTTTGTCTTATACAATTAATCAACATATTCTTCATAAAATATATTAATTAGGAAATTTTATGATAAGACTTGCACTGATTCACAATTTTTTGAGTTCAATTTTCTCTTTAAGGATAAAGTCAAGTAAAAATAAATATGAGATTATAAGATAATCAAGTAAGGTATAAGCTAATTTATTTGTCTACCGGATATAGTTATGTCCGAAAGTAGACTTAATATTAGCTGAACCCAATCTACTTTTGCTTCAGTTGAGACCATTTTTATTACACTATGTCTTATTTATCAAATTCATGTAAATTTTTATTAAGTAGATTTAAATTATTGTGGATGCTCTTGTAATATCTATCTCATTTTTGCAGTAATACTTTTGTGTTAGATCAAACTAATCATTAGACAACAATACTCTTTTCATATCAAATGCTTTTATTATTAAAAATTTTACACTTTAAACGATATAAAAATAATAAAATAATGATATTTCATCGTATAAATACACATTTTTGTTCACAAAATATGACGGACCAACTCGTATAATGTAACGGATAATTTAGGAATAATATTTATTTAGGTAGAATATTTTCTGTAGTTATCTTTGGTAACTAAATATTTGGTTTGATATTATCCTTATCTCTTGTAATCTCTATATGTACCAAAAAAATTGGAGATTTCATCCTGTAAGTGGCACCTATTTGAGGTTTGGTCCTCTCTGATGCCCACTTTTGGATCACGTCCCGTAAGTCGCAAAAATCGTGAGAAATGGTCCTGTCACCGGCAAAAGCAGGTCATTTTTACCGGCTAGTCTACGTGGCATTTTTACAATTTTTTTTTTTTTTTTTTTTTTTTTTTTCTATGTGGCATAATTCAAAAAAAATGGCAAGAAGGAGATTCGAACTTGGGTTGACGGGCATTGTAGTGGCCTTATGAGCCACTTGACCTAACACAATTTATGTTAAATATTTGAATTTTCATTTATATATCTCTCAAGAAAGTTTTATTATATATTTAATTACTTTGGTTAATTAAATTTTTATTACAGTTAACGTTATTTTTTATATTAATCTACATTATTAATCTTAATTATTTTTTTATATATCAAATAAATGATTAATAAATAATAAATACGTTAAATAATATAATAAATAAATATATTAAATAAATATGTTGAATAATATATATTTAATAAATTTTATAATATATTTATTATTTAATAAATATTTATTAATATATAAAAAAATTTCATAATATACATAAATTATGTATAATTTTATAATTAAAAGCCGTATAAGTTGAATAATATATATTTATATTTTAATATAAAATAATATTTTATTATTTAATATATTTATTTATTAAATATAATAAACAAGAAATAAAATTACATTATTGAATATTTATTTATTAATTTATATTTAATATAAATTAATACATGATATATATTTTCATTAAATAATACGTGATATATTATTAATTTTATATTAGTTAAATAAATATTTACAGAATTAATATATATATTAAATATAAATTAATAAATAAATATTCAATAATGTAATTTTATTTTTATTATATTTAATAAATAAATATATTAAATAATACAATATTATTTTTTATTAAAATATAAATATATATATTATTCAACTTATACGGCTTTTAATTATAAAATTATACA